CCCCCCCCCCCCCCTCATTGCTGGCTCACCTCTTCTCAGCACAAGCAGGTTGACCTCGCTGCCCAGTGGCAGGTCTTTGAGGATGTCCACCACCTGGGAGTGGCTCAGCGTTTGGACGTTCTGTCTGTTGATCTCCTTGATGACGTCGCCCTTCAGCAAGCCGCGGCACCACTGGGCATCCAAGATCATCTTCACCTTTTGTCCCAAGGCACAGTCTGCAATGGCGAAGCCGAACCCTCCGGGGCCTTTCACCAGGGGTACGCTCACCAGCTCCGGCTGCAACAGAGCGGCCTCTGGTCCCTCCTGGTTCTGGTCAAGAGGAGCCTGTTGATGCTGCTGCTGCTGGGGATGAGCGTAGTGGTGGTGGCACCCCCCGTTGCTCAGAGGTGGCACGGAGGAYGCCTGGCGGGACAGGGCTCCCCCGTTTGGGACCGTGTAAGGGTCCTGTGGTGTGGAGGTGGACAGGGATGGGGAGGTGTCTTTTGAAGCGAGGAGGCTTCCTGATGCTTCCTTGCTGCTGCTGGAGTCCTCGGGCAGGGAGTAGCCCCGGCACAGGACTAAATCCACAAACTGGTTGACTGGGATGGACTGGAACATCTGGACCACATCGGTGTGAGTCTTCCCCAGCACACATGTCCCGTTGATGTCCACAATGACGTCGCCTTAAAGAAGAATGACGGCAGGGGAAAATCAACTAGATTACATAAGTAGTCTGCTTCCTAGTTCTTAGAAAATAAGTTTAATAACATTTTCTAATCTGCAACAAGTACAAGACATAGAGGATTAAAATGATGTTATTCTCAGACCTATGGCACAATAAACATTAAGTAAACATTAAGCATAAACAAAACAATATGTTACTAATCTGTAAAAATGTAAGAGGATAAAGTATGTGCATAAAGGTCCCTGATATTAGCATCAGAATAAAGTGATATATGCAGCAATGCAGTGGTGGACAGCATTAATCTAAAAATTAGTTCCACTAGCCCTAAAACACTAACTCAAATATTTAGGAATSCCTTAACAGGCATTCACCCAATTAGGGCTTGCTATTCAAAATGAATGAGAGCAGAAGAATGCATTTTAAAGAAATGTATTTCTCTGCCTCTCTTTATTTGAATAGCAGCATCTATTGTTACCCACCTCAAAAACRGATCTCTATACTTCATTTATGTCTTTTTATAGTCCTACATTTTTGTGGTCCAAATGGTAATGTGCACCCTTTTTATATAAAAATGATCAACTCAGTTGTGGGATGTGTGCAGTGTTAGTGGCATTTCAAATTACCACTAAAGTGCTACATACGTAGGCAAAGTTTTTTTGCGATTTACGTTGTCAGTGTATTCTCATGGGAATACACTGAGCTCAGCTATCAACTGAAAAAAAAAGCCATTCTAAACATGACCATAGGTACCATTCCAGACCATGTAGGTCAGGGGTGGAACTTCCACATAGTTCCCACTGAGCTCAATTGAACTGAGAGTTGAACAAATTAGTTAATGAAGTGATTTAATTCAACACTCAAACAATGCAGCCATTTGAACAAATCATTTGTGAACGACACAAAACTAATTTTTTAAGTTCTGAGTTTGGCACATTTTAATTAGGGCTGGGCGATATGACCTCAAATTCATATCACGGTAGTAGGGGTCACCTCGAGTGAAATAATCAAGGAAACTACTAAGAGATATGTGTTCTCTTTTCTACTGTAACTTTGATAAACATTCTCTGATTATCAAAATGCGTAATAACTTTCAGCTAAGAGAACAATAAATCAAATAAAAAGAAGATTTTTGTTTATTATCTGATTAAGAAAAAGAGAATGTCTCKTTGACAAGTTAAGGTGACCTGAGGTGGCCTAAATTCAGTTCTAAGTGGAACAGAGCATTTGTCCCTTAAAAAGGCCCATCTGAGGTCTGAGGTTCAAGACAGTTTCCTTGATTATTTCACTCGAGGTGACCCCTACACAGTATAAATTGAATCCCTTCACGGTAACGGTATATATCGCGGTAGAAAATTATCATAAAAAATGTAATTTTTAGAGCATTTATTTAGCAGAAAACTGAAATTAYAATCAAACCCTGTATTGAACACGTCACYATTTTTCTCAGTAAATATATTACTAGAGGTGCTAATGACATGAAATTTTCACCAGATGTCGGTAACAACCCAAGTGATCCATACATACAAAGAAATCAAACCATAAATGTCCAGAAATGAAGTTATTTGTAATAACGTGGAATGGCACAGGGAAAAAGTATTGAACACATGAAGAAAGGGAGGTGTAAAAAGGCATGAAAAGCCAAGACACCAGCTGAACTCTCTCAGTAATTAGAAAGCAAGCCTGCCCCTTGTCAGTGCAAGTTAATATCAGCTGGTTCAGWCCCAAATGATGGCCAGGTATCACACAAGAACCATCTGATGATGGGTAAAAGTAAAGAGCTCTCTCAAGACCTTCACAACCTTATTGTTGCAAAGCATAATGATGGCATCGGTTACAGAAGAATGTCTAAACTTCTGAAGGTTCCAGTGAGCACTGTTGGGGCCATAATTCAGAAGTGGAAAGATCATCATTTCACCATAAACCGACCACGACCAGGTGCTCCTCGCAAGATTTCTGACAGAGGAGTGAAAAGAATTATCAGAAGAGTTGTCCAAGAGCCAAGGACCACTTGTGGAGAGCTTCAGAAAGACCTGGAATTAGCAGGTACGATTGTTTCAAAGAAAACAATAAGTAATGCACTGAACCACCATGGCCTGTATACACGCTCACCACGCAAGACTCCACTGCTGAAGAAACGGCATGTTGAAGCTCCTTTAAAGTTTGCTGCACAACATTTAAACAAGCCTGTGTAATACTGGGAGAATATAGTCTGGTCAGATGAGACCAACATTGAACTGTTTGGATGCCAGAATACACATCATGTTTGGAGGTCAAATGGCACTGCACATCAGCCCAAAAACACCATACCAACAGTGAAGTTTGGAGGTGGGAACATCATGGTGTGGGGCTGTTTTTCAGCATATGGTACTGGCAAACTTCAAATAATTGAAGGAAGGATGAGTGGAAAAATGTACAGAGACATTCTTGATAAAAATCTGCTTCCATCTACCAGGATGCTGAAGATGAAACGTGGCTGGACATTTCAGCAAGACAATGAGCCCAAACACAAAGCCAAGGAAACTCTCAGTTGGTTTCAGAGAAAGAAACTAAAGCTGCTGGAATGGCCCAGCCAATCACCTGACCTGAATCCAACAGAAAATCTATGGAAAGAACTAAAGATCAGAGTTCATAGAAGAGGTCCACGAAACCTTCAAGATTTGAAGACTGTTTGTGTGGAAGAATGGGCCAAAATCACACCTGAGCAATGCATGCCACTAGTTTCTCCATACAGGAGGCGTCTTGAAGCTGTCATTGACAACAAAGGCTTTTGTATAAAGTATTAGATAAATTTCATTAAGTGTGTTCAATACTTTTTCCCTGTGCCATTCCACATTATTACAAATAACTTAATTTCTGGACATTTATGGTTTGATTTCTTTGTATGTATGGATCACTTGGGTTGTTACCGACATCTGGTAAAAATTTCATGTCATTAGCACCTCTAGTAATGTATTTACTGAGAAAAATGGTGACGTGTTTACTACTTATTTTACCCACTGTATATATATATAGGTTGTTTTCTACTAAAGTGGCTAAAAAGAAAAAATATATATACATAAAGTGGATATTATAACCAGTACTTCAAGTAAAATTAGTCATTTAGATATAAAACAAATTCTAAGATGGCATAAGTTGCCTAAAATGTTATAGTGTGACAGGACCTTAAGGACCTTAAGCTGCACATAGTCCAAGTCATAAAACAATTTCAGATTACTGGAATAAAAGTGTGGTGACGCCAAATAAATGCAATATYGGCCTCCCATACGGTTGTTAGAGCTTCGCTCTGCTCAACGTGCAGCAGGAGGGAGGGAGGAAATGATCCCACATCCTGTGACACGATGCAACTTTTCTACAGCGGGAGGGGGAATTTGGGGGATTTATTCTCTCTATACGTGTTTTAAAACGCTACATTTCTTCATTATTTTTCGAACTCCTGCTCAGTCGTCTCTGCACTCGCAGCCAGGCTGACACAGGTGTGATCACGTTACTGACGACAGGACGGTAGAGGGTCAATTTCTACGGTAGGCCAACTTCATATTGTTTCTACGTCTATCRCATATACTGCGCAGCCCTACTTTCAGTGTAATTTTTCTGACGTCAAACAGGAACTCCCTGCTCTGAGGCAGGTAGACAAGATGAAGACATTCAGACATTATGACTTGAAGGACAAAAAAACACAAAAACARTTTTGAGTGTAGAGAGAGAAGACGCCATTTTTCTAACATTTTTCTGCCGCCATTTTTTCTTACGTTAACAGAACAAGAGGAGTGGAATATTGATCCCCTCCCCCACACCTTTCATTTCCCTGTAAGTTTTAGAACCTCAGCATCTTTGACCTGACTCTGATACAGTTCTGGATAACCAGCTGAACTGCTGACTGGATGGCTGGCTTGCAGCCCAGTGAAGGATCCAGTCCTCCTCCACAATCAATACTCCTATCAAGCAAATACAATGAAGGTTTCACTCTGGTAATGAGCTTCATATACCAATGTAGAGCCTCAGACTTATTGCTCATTTTTTCCAGGGTCTTTGCTAATAATATCCAAAAAGGTGTATGACATAAACATACATAAACAGCCCACTTGATGGCATAAATAAATACAACAGGTCCAAAGTGGGAAAATGTTTAAAACCCAATGAAATTAATTATGTTCCATCTTTTGGTACAGCCAATTACTCTCCTTCTCGAGGGAAATTAGACAGTGAAAATAATTACCCTCTCTGTTCCATCTTCCCGTTGACTCTCAGCAGCAGAGACTGTGTGGCAATCGATATTGGTGTTATGTGAATCCTAAAGTAGTTTGCACAAGTTGTTCAAAGTCCTATCCCCGTACATGCAATCACTGAATCAGAGACCCAAAACTCAAGTACATTTCCTTAAAATTACAGTCAGAAATCTACATGGAGCATACACCCTCCTTTGAAGTGATAGTTTTGTGATTTCTGAAGTCATTTGAAAAAGTATTAGCTTATGTGCCGTTCTTTCAAACCTGTACGACATTTTTGAAAAGTGTTGGTTTATAACCCAGAAAAAAAAATTTTTTAATAAAGGATATCCTTATTTGTCTAGTGCAGAGCTGCCCAAACTTTTGGCCCACCAGCAGTTGTACAGGCTACTAGGTTGTAATCTCCTGTCTTAAGTAGAAACACTATATTTCCACTTTCATTCCGACTATTGATACAACTATAAGGAGCAGTGGTGAAGATAGTCTAAACCAGTGTTTCCCAAAGTTGGGGTCGGGACCCAAAGTGGGGTCCTGAAAAGATTTTCGAAATTAATTACATTTTTGCCTTAGTTGTTACAAAGG